TCATTGTTGTTTGGTAGGCCCAGGCTGGGAATTTGAACCCGCCACCTTAGGTGTATGTGGCTGGCGCCTTAGCCGCTTGAGCCACAGGCGCCGAGCCTATATTTACTTTATAACATGTGATGAGGTGACTGAAGTTTTTTTTTTCCAAGTAAAGGCAAGATGATAAAAATTTTGGAATCATCTTAATTGGTAGTACTTGTGATGGGTTGTATTACATAAGTATTTCCACTATTGTGCAAATGTGTGCATGTCTATCGTAATGCTTAAATAATGAAAAAAGGTATTTTGATATAACTATTGAACTCAGCTGGATATCTGTAGTTCAGTGGTTAGGGCACCAGCCACATACACTGGGGTTGGTGGGTTTGAACCTGGCCTGGGCCTGCTAAACAAAAATAGCTGGGCATTGTGATGGGCACCTGTAGTCCCAGCTACTAGGGAGGCTAAAGCACAAGAATCGCTTGTGCCCAAGAGTTGAAGGTTGCTGTCAGCTATGATGCCACAGCGCACTATAGGGGTCAACAAAGTGAGACTGTCTCAATAAAAAAAACAACAACAACCAACAACAACAAAAAACTATGTAACATATTGTTCTGAAGAGGTTAATGTAACTTCATTTGGGAATGAAGAGGTTAATGTAACCCCATCTTGGAACTCACTCCCCAAGCCCCACTCCTGGGCAAGGTTGCCCAGGTGGAATCAGTCTATCAGAAGGTGACGCTCCCTCCCCCACATTTCTGGGCAGCCAGTCTGAGGGGGACCAGCTTCCTTTCCCTTGGCTCTCATCAGCAAGGTCAGTCAGCCTAAAGGGAGCCAGTCTATCAGAAACAAACAAGCAGCTCCCCCCTTCAAGCAGCCCCCCTCTAAAAAAGTCCCTAACCAAAAACAGCTTAGCCAATAGCAACCCCGCCCAACAAAACACCTGATGTAATTCCTCTATGGCTTTAAAAACCTCTGCTTGCTTCATTTTGGGGTCACCCTTCCCCCCAGCAACGCTGCAGGGTAGAGTGACCCAGGCATATGCTTGTAAATAAATAAAGCACCTCTTTGTTATTGCAGGTGTGTGGTGGTCTCTCAGCGGATAAGGTTCTAACAGTTCATCATCCCTGTTCCATTAAAAATTTTATTCCTGCACATTGTAATAGTAAATTTTGAGGTTTGCACCAGATCTGGGTGTGAGAATTGCAGGTAAATGAGTAGCAGACAGTTTAACATTAGAATTGAAGAGAGCAGTCTAAATGTCCCTCTGAGTGTGACAGTGCAGTTACTAAAAATATTTGTGCAAGATTGTTTCTGTCAGTGGTACTGAGAGATGTCATTCTTACCTTCATGACACTATTATATTTTCCAAACACTCTGTGAGTTACAGCAGTGTGTCTTCTAGATGTTAAAGTGGAAGTAGCTCAGTGATCTGCCAGGCCCACACCCAGGTGCTGAGTCCTGAGGCCAGCCCA